CCCCGCACCCCTCTGCGGCTCAGAGCGGCAACCCACAAAACAAATGTCCCCGTGCCCATGAACGGCCCATTAATTTGCGAGCCGTACATCTGTCGATGGGGAGGAGGAGCGGGAGGGGGGAGGGGAGGGGGCGAGGATGGGCATCTCCACCCCTAATTGCCTCGGACAACTACTGCCCGGCCCAGAAGGGATGATGGAGGGGAGGGTCGAAGGGATCGAGGTGGTCGTGACGGTCAAGCAGAGGGGGCCAGCGCGGCGCGGCAGCAGCTCCATCCGGCCGTTTCGAAAAGAGAAACCGCGTCTACATTTTCAGCCGCTTCGGCGCTTACGACGCTTTTCCTTGTTCCCACAAAGGAACGCTGGCGGAAATCGTTATGGGGTCCTCGCGGCCGCACCCTCCCCGTCCGTCGCCGTTTTCGAAAGCGGAGCGCCGAAAACTGGCGAGGGGCGTAACAATTGTTAAATAATGTGTGCGGAAGCAGGGAGACACTCCCGGCCGCTCCGCTCCCGCCGCCGCTCTCATCGTTTCCTTCTCCTGTTCGTACTCTTAGCTTGAAAAACTCGGCCGGCGACGAGGAAAAGCGGAATACATTTCTTGTTGGGTTGAAAAAATAAATCTGTAGAAAAGGAGTTTATGACACGTCATTTGTCACGGGTTGGCGCACAAAATCCATAATCTACCCAACGGGAATGAGAAGCGGCAGCAGCCCGAGCAGCGTGAGCTCACCGGTGGTCTAAGGAGAACAGAACTAATGTAGCATCTTTCAACAACTATTTACAGTACAGGCAAGTGCAAGCCGACTGTTTATTATTTTGTTTTCGAAAGAAATAATTAAATTAAAATAGTTATAACAGCCTCTCTGGTTGGCCCGGTAAAAAACAACGTCTCATTTAGTAAGAAGGGTAAATTTTAAGGAACATCCATAATTAGAGGAATAACTTTCTTAGGTTTTGACGAAATCTCCCCACAAAGTAAGGACAACACTGTAAACCCAAGTGCGTACATAGTACACATCACTCAGTTTTTGATGATGAGATGTCAAAATCTAAGGAGTTGACTCAATCATGTTGGATGCTCAAAGTCGCTCCATTTTTCTTGAAAACAAATCACACAGTGGTCATTTTTACCTTGGGCTCGGCTCGCTCGGTCCACGCGGCTAGCGCCCGACCAAAGCGCATAGGCAGTCCCGCAACGCACGGCGACGGAGAGGTGGCCCACCTACTAGGCGCTCCGGCCGCCGCACAGTTCCGCGCAAGTGGAGAAACCAGCCAGGACGCGGAAAAAAAAGGAGGAAATGTCTGAGGCCAAAAACTTTGCGTTGCTACACCGGTGGCCCGGCCTGTCCCAATCCAGAACCCTATAACGCCCCCCCCCCCAACCCTTACGTCCGTTTTCAGGCTGGCCCCGTTTTAGGAGCTACGTGTGCGCTGCCTTGTGCCGGCCGGTCGGCGCGCGCGGCTCTATTTCTGGACACGTCTCGAAAATTTGCAATTCTATCGCAAACGCCCGGCGCGAGCGCTCCCCATCCGTTCACCGGGCGGGTCCATCCCCATCCTCTGACCTTCCCCCCTCCCCCCGCTTCTCCTTCCCCTGTGCCGCGCCTCTTGATCCACAGCCTCCGGACTGCGGACCTCTCTCACCTTCCTACCTGCCCCCCCCC